TGTCTGTTCTTCACCATCAAAGCTTTATGGAGACAAAGAGAAAGACTCTGATGGAAAAAGCTCAGATTAAATCTGGACTAGAGTTCACCAGAAGACATGTGGAGACTCTGAAGTCACCTGGAAGAAGGTTCTCTGGTCTGAGGAGACCAAGATGGAGCTTTTGTCCAACAGAGTAGACGCTATATTTGTTGGACACCAAACACATCATCCCCACTGTGATGCACGGTGGCAAACAGCAAACAGCCAAAGCTCTACAGAAATGGTTTAAAGATAACAAGGTGAAGTTCTGGAGGCCCAGTCAGAGTCCAGACCTCAGTCCAACTGAGAATTGGAGTCTGGACCTGAAGAGTTCTGTTCACTCCTGATCCCTGTGGAACCCGACAGAGTTGTATTGACAATAATCTGGTAGAATTGTAGATATTCAGGCTGGTTGAGACCAACTCTGGCTCAGTGCTGCTTCAATCAACCTGAAGTACTGACGTTGTTCTGTTTGTTGTGCAGGTGCCTACGAGAACCGGAGCGTGTTTGAGACTCTGGACATCGGATGGCAGCTCATGAGGATTTTCCCCAAAGAGATGCTGAAGAGGATTCCTCAGAGCACCTTGGCCGAGTTCTACCCCCGAGAGGCCAAACACTAACCGACCCACCGCTTCCACCGAGCCGCCCACATCCAGTGTCGTGTCGTGATGCCGTTTCCGTCCTCAAACTCGTGACCTTCATGTGGCTTCACCAGACGGAGGAGCTGAGAGGTTTGTTTACCGCTGAACGTGGAGACGCCGCCGCCGCCGCCGCCGGCAGACAGAAGAAGAAGAAGAAGAAGAGCCCGATCTGTGTGGGCGACGCTGACATTTCATTACCGACGCCTTTAATTAGCAAAGTTTACGCAAACGAGAGGTGAAATTAGTGCGAGGCAAACAGAAACAACACAATGGGAAGGTTTTAATTAAATATCAAAGGTTGTTGCGGAGTCGGATCGGTGTTCGGGAGGCGACGCTGCGTTAACAAAGAGCTTCAGAGAGACGCTAACGATGAGCAGGAGCTTCGTCAAACACCGAGAGATGATCAAGTCAGGAGGAGTTAGGCTCAGAGTGGCAGCTTTAATGTGGAACAAGAAAACAAACGGTGCAGCTCCACGACTTGCTCGTGTTTCCCAAAATCAGAGGCGACAACGTTTTGGTATTTTATTGGTGTTTCAGTTTTCTGGCGTATTAAACACAAAACAATCCACCAATTATTAAAACACTGATAACTCTACGGTGAAATAACTCAACCTCATCAGATTTCTTTCTGTGTTTATGAGAATAACTCATTTCTTTTAATCTAATCATTGAACACAATTAGACACCAGAGCTGCAAACACTGATTGTTTCCATTGTTGATTTATCTGACAGTTATTTTCTGGATCAATTGATCGGAGGTTTGGTTTCTAAAAAGTCAAAAAATGATGAAAAATGTGGATCAGAGTTTCCTCAGACGTCCTGTTTAGTCCAAAGATGTTCGGTTTAGTGTCACAGAGGCAAAAAGAAACCAGAAAACATTCACTGAAGAAGCTGAAATCACAGAATTTATATGTTTTTAATTAGAAATGAATCAAAACGATTAGTCGATTGTAAAAACGACAAATAAATGAATTCGTTGGCGACCAATCAATTAACCCTCTGAACCCCAAAACCTGCTTGAATTGTCATAGTTTATTAAAATCTATTTATTCTTCCTGTTAAAAACAAACTTGTTTGCACCAGATTTGGTAAAACAATAAAACATGCGTAGCTGCAACCAACAGATTCATGGAATCAGGCTGTATTTATATTCTATAGACGCAACTTTATATATAAATAGTAGAACATCTAAACCACGTGGAGCCTCCATGTTCTCCTGTGTTGGATGTCCTGGTTTTTTAGATTTTTTGCCTAAAAATAATTTAAGAAATTGAAGATTTTTTGT